GCAGTTAGGAGCCAGTGGTCCCGGATTGTGAGAGGGATGTCCGACTGCCCCCCCAAAGGGTCCTGGATTGGAGAGGGTGCAGGCTGGGCCGAGGGGACCCCCCGCCCCGTGCACGAATTTTGTGCACCAGGCTCTAGTATATAGATAATTGACAAAACTTTAAGATATTTAAACTGTACATCAGCATGATCTGATATATGTGTACATTATGAAAGGAGGATTTGGCCTCATTTGAATGTAAAGCATGAGGTACTGGCTCCAAGCTTCACAGAGCTCCTCAGATGATCTCATGAATAATGAAACCAGATGCTATGTTTTGATTTACCTAACTTCATGAGTAATATAAAACCAGAAATAAAGGCATATTTTCATTATGTAGAACAACAGTAGTGACCACCACAGTAACTGCAGTGAGTTTAATAGTGTCCCCACAAAAAAAATTCATGTTTACCCAAAACCTCAAAATGTGACCTCATTTGCAAACAGGGTCTTTGCAGATGAAACGAGTTGAGGATCTTGAGGTGAAATCATCCTGGATCTCAGGTAAGCTCTAAATCCAGGAACTGGTATCGTTGTAAGAAGAGAAGACACATGGAGAGACAGAGGAAAACACCATGTGAACACAGAGGCAGCGATTGGAGCCCCAGGAGCCAATAGGAGTTGGAAGAGGGAGGAAGGATTCTCTCCAAGAGCCTTCAGAGGGAGCATGGCCCTGGATTTCAGACCTCTGGCCTCCAGAACTGTGAGAGAAGACGTTTCTGTTGTTTTAAGCCACACAGGTCTGTGGCAATTTGTTACAGCCGCCTTAGGAAACTAATACAGAGAAAGAAACGCATGTTTGGTATGTAGCAGGATGGAGGTGACCACCATACCTAAAAGGCAGTTCTTCAACTTTGTACCCCCAAGGCCTCTCTTCCTTCCATCTGAGATGGAAGCACCCCTTTCAAAGGCAGAAGAGAAGGCTGGAAAAACTAGTAAAAAAGACAGGGAGAGACCATTCATACGGGAAAGGGAGTTCTGAGACACCATCTTTTAGGTTCCTCCAGTCCTGAGAACCAGTGTTGGGATGGTCCCTTCACAGTAAACTGCTGGCTTTGTTACTGTCCTGGGCAGACCACCAGCCATGAACTCGCCGTCTCTCCATGAATGTCAAGGCTAGGGTGACACCTGTCTAATGCATGTCTACCTGGAGATGCTCCCCAACAACAAATATATACCACCAGCCATCCGATAAGGAGAACTCACCGACTAAGGTTGTAGGAACACAGGACCGATGAAACTGAGGCTGGGCAATCTAACAGCAGATGGAGGCAGGGGTGGTGACGTGAAGGAAAAGCCTTGCCCTACCCACCCCTACAACGCTGGAACGAAACGGTCTGCTTGGAAATGGGCACTGCCCCTATTACGGAAAAACCAATTTTGTCTTATGGTTTCCTCCCAGGCACAAACCATAAGGGGGAAAAGCAATAAATGTGACTACACAAATATCAAAATACACTGTAAGCAAAATTAAAAGGTAATTGGCTGGAGGAAATATTTGCAACATATATCACCGACCTGAGTTTCATGGAACATCAAAAATTCTTAAGAGCCCTAACCGGTTTGGCTCAGTGGATAGAGTGTCGGCCTGCAGAGTGAAGGGTGTCAGGTTCGATTCTGGTCAAGGGCATGTACCTTGGTTGCAGGCACATCCCCAGTAGGCAGCTGGTCGATGTTTCTCTCTCATTGATGTTTCTAACTCTCTATGCCTTTCCCTTCCTCTCTGCAAAAAAATAAAAAAAAATCAATAAAAAATATTTTTTAAGAAATTCTTAAGAAATCATTTTTTATAAAGTTGAACAAACACCAAGTGAAAAAATGGGCAAAAGGCCAGAAAAGGCAAGTCACAAAGAAAGTACTAATGGTCACTAGCAATATGGGAAAATGCCTATCCTTTCTAGTGCAGCAAATCAAAGATGTCCATTTCTGACAATAAAACAGGAATTTTGAAAAGAAATAAGGTTATTCCCAATGTGGGTTGAGGATTGGAAACATTTGCCTGGAAGGCAAACTTTCATCTACCTTCAGAGAGCCCCAAACTGGGCATATCCTTTGATCCTTCAACTTCTCATGTGGGAACTTATCCTAAGGAAACAGGATTCACACCTACAAGGGTACAAGGCAGTGGATACAATGGGGGGGGCGGGGGAGGTAGAAGAGAAGAAAAAATATATGTTTGCTAATTACACATTCCATCATCTAGGTGATTTTTACTTTTTCTCTACACTTTCCTGTTCATTCTAAATTCTCTACACCGAGCATGAACTGCTTTGTCATCAGATGTTCTTTGTCCAAAGAAATCCAACTTTATAGGGAGAGGTTAATAGGCAGAGACGAGGCATCCACACCTGCCCGCCGGGGCCCACTCCCTTTGGGGGAACAAGGCGTCCACACCTGCCCGCCTGAGTCCACCCCCTTCCCTGGGCACCTGGCGTCCACCCCTTCCCTGGGCACCAGGCGTCCACACCTGCCCGCCTGAGTCCACCCCTTCCCTGGGAACCGGGCGTCCACTCCTGCCCGCCTGAGTCCACCCCTTCCCGGGGAACCAGGCGTCCACACTGCCCGCCTGAGTCCACCCCTTCCCGGGGAACCAGGCGTCCACACTGCCCGCCTGAGTCCACCCCTTCCC